CAGAGTGGGGAGCAGAGAGTGTCGGGCGGTGAATGGAGGGTCTCTGAGGCAAACTATGTGATTGTGGGGAAGAGGTTCCTGGCGGCTGGGCTCAGGCTGGAGAGGGGGTGCACCCTTGTGGGGGAGGGGTTCAGAGTTGGGGCTCAGGCTGGAGTGGGGGTGCACCCGTGTGGGGGAGGGGCTCAGAGTTGGGGCTCAGGCTGGAGTGGGGGTGCACCCCTGTGGGGGAGGGGCTCAGAGTTGGGGCTCAGGCTGGAGTGGGGGTGCACCCCTGTGGGGGAGGGCTCAGAGTTGGGGCTCAGGCTGGAGTGGGGGTGCATCTGTGTGGGGGAGGTGCTCAGAGTTGGGGCTCAGGCTGGAGTGGGGGTGCACCCCTGTGGGGGAGGGGTTCAGAGTTGGGGCTCAGGCTGGAGTAGGGGTGCACCCCTGCGGGGAGGGGGTTCAGAGTTGGGGCTCAGGCTGGAGTGGGGGTGCATCTGTGTGGGGGAGGTGCTCAGAGTTGGGGCTCAGGCTGGAGTGGGGGTGCACCCTTGTGGGGGAGGGGTTCAGAGTTGGGGCTCAGGCTGGAGTGGGGGTGCACCTGTGTGGGGGAGGGGCTCAGAGTTGGGGCTCAGGCTGGGTGGGGGTGCACCCCTGTGGGGAGGTGCTCAGAGTTGGGGCTCAGGCTGGAGTGGGGGTGCACCCCTGTGGGGGAGGGGCTCAGAGTTGGGGCTCAGGCTGGAGTGGGGGTGCACCCCTGTGGGGGAGGGGCTCAGAGTTGGGGCTCAGGCTGGAGTGGGGGTGCATCTGTGTGGGGGAGGTGCTCAGAGTTGGGGCTCAGGCTGGAGTGGGGGTGCACCCCTGTGGGGGAGGGGTTCAGAGTTGGGGCTCAGGCTGGAGTAGGGGTGCACCCCTGCGGGGGAGGGGTTCAGAGTTGGGGCTCAGGCTGGAGTGGGGGTGCATCCGTGTGGGGGAGGGGTTCAGAGTTGGGGCTCAGGCTGGAGTTGGGGTGCTGGCATCCTGCAAGGGGAAGGGCCTCAAGGTCTAGGCTTGAGCCCCAGCACACCAGCCCTGCACTTTGTAGCCTGACAGCCCTGGGGCGGGGGGAATGGACGCTTGGGCAAAGTGGGCTTTCCTGTGTGGACTCTTCAGGCAGGTTAAGGCTTGAACCCCTTTAATTACATGGCCGTCCATGTGGTTAAAGCACTAGGTGCCACCACTCCTGATGGCAGTTACGCTGGTATAAACGCAGTACATCTTAACCCAGTATGGGAAGGGGAATACACCGTCCCCCCGTATGGAACTTTTATTCCAGTTTAACGGCATCCATGTGAGGGGTTGTGTTGGTAACACACACTTACCCCGCTCACTACTGGTACACACGCAGTGTAGCCCACATGGGCTGTAGCGATTGAGCTTGTGCACGCCAAGCCAAGCCAAGCGGCTGCCTAGAAAGCTGCCCAGCTGTAAGCAGATCATGGTCCACTCCCGCCACTAGCCCAGCCCGCGGGACGCTCTCTGCGCTGCAGGCCTCGTCTACACAGGCCTGGCAAAAGGAAGGACAGTTATCCTCGGGTGACAGCTGGGAAAGCGACGGCTGGTGCAGCACGGGCTTTGTTAGCCGGCTCGGCCCTGTGAGTAGCTGAAGGACATGCTGCTAGCAGTGACGTGTCAAAGCCGCAAGCACCTGTGACTAAGCAGCGGGGGTTGTGGTGAGCACAATGTCCAGTGGAACAGCTGGTACAGTGCCGGCCGTGGGTCCCTCTTGCTCATGAGTTGGCCCCGCTTCCTTTGTCCGCTTGCGGGAGGTTTGTTCCTCCTTTGCCTAGGAGTGAAGTGAAACTGGGGGGGTGTCCGTAGTTCCTGGCAGCTGCTCCTCATTGCTCCACCCTACCCCACTCAACTTCCGTTGCCAGCTAGTCTTAGGGCTACTGCAGGGCACCGCTCTGAGGCTGGAGGACCCTGGGGCTCCCCAGCCCCCCAGCCCTCGACAGGAAAGCTGGTTGTGCCATTTCTAGTACTTGTGGTGTTAGAGAAGCAGTTCCTCAAAATGCAAACGGGCTAGCCAGTAAGCCAGGCTGCACCTGCTGTGCTGGAGGGAATGAGCAGCCCCAGGACCCCCCCAGCTGGGTCTGAGCTCCCACTCCGCTGCGAGGTCAGCGGGCAGATAGGAGGCTCCTCTCCCCCAAGGAAATGCTGCAGTTTGGTTTAGTGTCACATCTTGCTGTGTGAAATGCAGCACGGGCAATGCCTGGCAGCAGCCTCAGGGACAGCCCGTCTGTCCCTGAGCAAAGGGATTAGAATTACCTGTGTGTGCGTCTGCACCTTCCAGAGCTCCTGCGAGGTTACTGAACAACATCAGCAATGGCAGACCAGCCAAGCCACGTCCCTGGGTCTGCTTGGGCTGCCACCAGCGAGATGGGTTCTGTGCCTTCACTAGAAAACAGGATCCAGTTTGTCTCCCGAGCAACTAAAAATAGCTCCAGCCCCAGGAATCAGCCGCAGTATCCTGAGCAGGGCATCCTGGGGTCTGTCTACACTGCAATTAAAAACCCACGGCTGGCCTGTGCCAGCTCGCTTGGGCTCATGGGGCTTGGGCTAAGGGGCTGTTTAATAGTGGTGCAGACATCTGGGCTTGGGCTGGAGCCCAGGTTTTAGGCCCCGGCAAAGGGGGAGGATCCCAGAGCTCAAAATCTCTGCACCACTATTAAACTGCCCCTTAGCCTGAACGCCGTGAGCCCAAGTCAGCTGGCACAGGCCAGTTGCACGGATCCAACTGCAGTGTAGATGGACCTTTGGAGGGCATCAAAACTGTAATCACAGCCTCTCAAAGAGCCAGCAGCCAAGTATGGGGGGAGGGGTTTCTACCCCTTTCTTTCAGGTGTTGCCACGTCTCTTGTACAGCATCACTTTAGTGTGCAGATGCCCTAGCCACTGCCCCAGACACGCATGGGCTCTGAGGCTTAGTTCTCGCCCTTCTCCTGCCCCAGCTGCGTTCACAGCCAACAGGTGGGAACCGAGCAGCCGGCTCAGATCCCAGCTAACCCGTACTAGGCTGGTTTTTAGAACCCAGGTTCAGCTACTCACAGATGTAGGAGTCGCTCCAGGGGCCTGGGATGCGCTTCCCACCCTTGTGGCAATCTCCCGCAGCCCATGGCTGCAGGGGCAGGTCACAAACCTTGGTTGAACGGGGAGATTGAGGCTGTTTTCTTGAGAACTTTATTTTCCGGCTCCTCCCAGCTTCCCCCTGGCCGGGAAGGGAAAGCCTGGGCTTGTCCCCTCTGCCCACCAGCTGGCACCGTGTTTATTAAAGTGGAGCAGCAGCCACTTGGCGCCCAGTGTTCTGACCTATAGCAGAGAGCTCCGGCATCTGCAGTATTTCAGCCACAGGGGAGCCAGTGCCTGGGGGCAGCCTCAGGCCCAGCTGAAGGAACCCCCCTAATTCCCCACCCTGCTCACGCTCGCTGGGGTGGAGCAGCCCTAAGAACATCTGTTTCTCTAGACCCGTCAGCAGGTTTGGGCCCACCGAGAACACCTTTGGTTTCTGTGGCTGACGGTCTCCCGTCGGCAGTGGAGAAAAGACCAGGGTCCGACTGAGCTCCAAGCTGCCAACTCTCATGGCACGTCTCCTGCCAGCTGCTGGAGTCCCCGAGGAGAGGCCCAGCTGCTTTCATTAAGAACACCAAGGAAGGGTCCAGTTCCCACAGGTCCAGAGAAAAGTTTGGTCAGGGGTGCAGGTAACAGCCCAGAGCTCAGAAAGCAGCAAGCAAAGGAAGAGCTCAACCCTGACTCCCCTGCCTGTTCCCACTGCAGTGCGCTCTGCCTGCCTCGCAGCAGACACCCACGTAGGGCTGCCAGCTGTGGAGAGGCTTTCAGGGGTGCTGGGGGTGGGGGGGACTCACTCAGCAGCTCCCCTAACAGGCATGGCCCATGTGGCACTCCCCCTGGTCCCACCTGATGGGAGAGGACCCCCAGAGGAGACAGTGCAGGGCTGCAGAGGCACCTGGCCGGAGACAAAGCTCTGCTCTGTGTACCGCAGGGCACAGATGCCCCTGGGCAGACTGAGGCTGGGGTGGATTGTGGCTCCAGTGCCCAGCAACCTGGCCTGCAGGTGGACTTGGTTTCCTTGCACAGCAGCCGAGAGCCAGAGGGTAAATAGAGGGGCAGGTGCAAGAGTGTGACAGCAAATCAGAAACCCCTTCTAGAGGGCAAGGATGGAGAAGTGTCCGGGGCCACCTGCGTAGGGCCCAAGGCATGGTTCCCCCAGCTGCAGAAGCTGTGAGGTGCTGGACACGTCCTGCTCTCAGAGGTGTGGGCCCACAGCCCAACCAGCAGCTCCGACCGCAGGTGCAACTGGCCGTTCTCCCCTGGCACCTCGAAGGCGTCTCCTGGGAAGGGCAGCCTGCCCCTGCCCCTTGACTGAAAGGGCCTGGGTGCTGGAGAAGGTTCCTGTTCCCCCCCAAACACACAGTGGCTAGTTCTCTGCCAAATGCTTCCCCACCTCCGGGCCGAGCAGCGCTGTCCCTGCCTGTCCCACACCTTCAGCAGCAGCAAGAGTAAACATAGCTTCAGCCCCTCATTGCAACTTGAGCAACAGCCCGGGCAGCGCAGACCGCTCCCCCTGCCTCCGAGGGGCCAGCTCACAGGCTGGGGGGGTGCTCACAATGCTGCTCAGCGCCCAGCCAGCTGTCCAGGGAAGCCGGGAAGCCAGGAAACCACCCTGCCCCTCATCAGCCACCACCCCAGCACTGCTCAGAATCACCTTCTCGCTGCCTGGACTGTCTCTCGGTGCTGGCGCAAGGCAGATCTCCAGCCAGTGAAGAATAGGGTGCGCTGGAGGTCGGGGTGCTGCTCCCGGGACCTCGGTTACCTACCGGGGCAATTCTTTTGATGTTCTCTGCAGCCCTCAAGGGCCAAGACAGACAGCAGTGCACCCCAGCTCTAGGTATCAGCCCAAGGAGCACGAGAGCCCCCACACCTGGCCCTTGTCTGGCAAGGAAGAGGCCCAGCTCTGGAAAAGATGCAATTGAGACTTGTCCTTTTATTGGGGATTTTCACAGTTGATGGGGGGGTGGGAGAAGAGAGAGAATAGTACTTTGACTCCATAGCCGCACAGCTGGTAGGACAGTGTAGACACACACAAGACATGGGCCCTGCTGCACAATGGGGAGGGAGGCAGAGGAACTGGGCTGGACAGAGCTACAGGCCATGGGGAAATACCCTCCCTAGGGGGACTGCAGAGACCAAACCCCTAGGAGACAGAGGGATGAAATGGACACGAGACACGCAGACATTTCACCCCTGCACCGTTCCTGCCACATGGTGCTTGGCAAGTGTGTGCATGAATGCTGAGGGGCAGGGCGCTCTCTTAGAGAGCCCCCACATCATCTGCTGGAGGGGCTGTGCTCTGCTGGCCGGCCCCACTGTCTGGGGATCCAGGGACAGGGCCAAGGGGCCACCTCCATCACCCAGGGAATCCTGGCACAGCGCATGGTGGCTGCAGTGGCACGAGAAGCTTTTACAACAGGAAAACAGAGGGTTCTAAGCCAGCCCTCGCTAGCTTTGCTGCAAGAGGCAGCTGAGGTTGTGGTACTGTGGCAAGCCAAGCTCATTTCACAATGGCACCCACGGGCTCCCAGTACCTAGGGGATGGGGTGCTGATTGCATGCCCTCCCCCACAGCTGCATGGAGAGCAGCCACTGCCATGGGCCCTGACCCTGCAGAACCAGAGTCATGGCCACACAAGCCCTGCCTGCTCTACCCTCCTCCAGAAACAGCTGCATCCCTTAACCTAGACTGGTTCTTAGGGGAGCCCCTTCCTGCCTGACCATCAGAAGGGGGCAGATGGTGCCAGCGGTGCACTAGCTGTTCCGGCGCCAGGTCGCAGGTTCTGCCGGGGCAGGAGGATGAGGGACCAGCAGTCAATGCATGGAAATGCCAGGCTCTTCGTCCCACACATACAGGGCTCGCCCACTCTGGGCATCTCCACCTGGCCTGCCAGCCCTCCAGCCATGCCCCATCCTGCTGCAAAGGGGCTGCTGCAACTGCTGATCTCACGCGCTGGGGTGCCAGGCCCCTCTGGCAGAGAAAGTTGTTTCTGTGATAGACAATCAGTGGGTAACGGGGAGGGGAGCGATGCACAGAGCTCCGGCTCCTCTCTGGTGGGAGGAAATCAGACAGTCCGCGCTGGTGCAGGTCCGGAGGTGCCGGGGCAGCTGGTGGGGCAGACTGGGGCGTGGCCCAGCTCCTTGGGCCTCTCCACAGATGACACTAGTTCCTTGCGGCTATGACAACAGACAAGGCCACGCCACCAAGCGCTACAGCTGTTGCGCCAAAGAGCCACTTCCAGGGAATAGCCTGGAGGGGAAGGAAAGAGCCCAGGAACATTAGAGGAGAGCCCAAGGGACCCGGCAGAGCCAGCCGAGTGTGCTCCAGGGGCAGGCCACCCTTGACAGCGGATTCGTTAGAACCCTGCTGGCCCTGAGGCCAGAAAGCAGCATGAGGAATCAGTCCTGTGCCTGCCACGTGGTGGGGGAAGGGGGTCAGGAACCCCCATCCCACGTTGGGGTGCAGGGAGGTTCCCTGCCCCAGGAGCATTTGAGCACAGCAGGGCCTGAGTGGCAGCCCTCTACCTGGCCAGGGGTGATGCCATCAGGTGGACAGATGGCATTGCAGCTCTCTAGGCTGCCGGATCAGGAGCCATGTCTCAGCCCCACCCGTGGCCTGCCAGCCACAGCAAGCAGGCACCTCTACCCTCTCCACCACGGATCCCTCCAGCTGGCAGCTCCAGACTCTGCTCAGAGCCTGGCACACAGAGGCCTTTCCCTGGCACGCGCTGCCTCTGTGCTGGCCAGGAGAGCCCCAGCAGGCTTCCTAGTGCTAGGAGAGGAGGCGACCCACAGCCCAGCACACGCGGGCACAGGCAGCTGGCTGCTCTCTTGCTGAGACCAACAGCAAGCATGGAACCGCTCCAGAAGCATGAGCCATCTCAGCACCCCCTCAGCACATTGTCGCTGCTTTCCCGGGCCCCTGCCCACCCCTGCATTCCCCACCACTCACCCGGGGCGACTTGGCTTTGCATGTTGTAGGGGTGCTGCTCGTGCTGGGGTTCCCCAGCATCTTCCTGTACATCGCGGTCTCCACGTTCTTCTGCTCCGCGTGTTTCTTCACCAACTTGGAGAGCTCCGCATGGATAGTCTGGGAGTGAGACAGCCAGGCATACCTGAGAAGCAGCCCCACTTCCCGCCTCCAGCCAGATCCCAGCACAGACAGGACAGAGAGGAAAGAGCAACATGACAGTCCTGCAAAGACACAGAGCCAGCAGCCCCTTGGAGCCGGGCTCTACCCTGCTGGGCTTCTGAGGGCTGCACGAAGGAGCTCAGACCCCAAGGCTGCTCCACCCCACTGGGCAGCAGGAGCCACGAAGGCCCAGGCCATCTCACCCCAACTCTGAGCAGGGGCAGCACAGCTGAGCTGCTCAGTTCGGGCAGGCCAGGCCTCTGCCCGGGAGAGCTGGCAGACGTGCCAAACAGCAGCTCAGAACAAGGACTCCTGAGTTAGGGTCCTAGCTGTGCAGCCAGACACATCACTTCCGTGTCTCAGTTCCCCACCTTTGAGAGCCTCACGAGGGGGCGACAGGGCCTTGTATTTGCTCCAGCCCTGTAGCGGGTGAGATGCACCCTAGTGGTAGGTAACGAAGCCCTGCGGCTGGTCTGCCAGAGCCCCACCCTGGGGCAATGGGACCACAGCAAAGTCCTGTTACAATTCCCCCCACCCCTCTGCCACCAAACCAGATCCCTCCAGGAGCACATGGCTCAGCCTCAGGCCATCAGCCGCAACAGGCCCATCACAACCATTGGGGATGGTTCCTCAGCATGCCAGGAAAGGGCTGCTTGCCATGCCTAGCTGGGGCTGCTGGTCAGGGCAGGGATGTCCCCAGCAGAGGGGGGAACTCCAGCAAGGGCAGGACAACAGGAGGGTCCCGGGCAAAGCAGGTCCTGGGGCTTCCAGCCTCTTCCAGGGTAGAGCTGCAGCCAGCGCCACAGCTGTGATGGTCATGCTTGGGCCTGCATTCCCGGCAGGTGCTGGGCACGGCGGCCTAGCCAGGTTGGCGTCCTGGACCGACGGCCTGATGTACCTTCCCCCGCAGAGGCGGACGTGATGAGCGAGTAGCCGTGGAGGCAAGTGGCTCAACACCCAACTGGCTTCATTCTTGCCAAAGGCAGGGTTGAATGGGCTAGAGTCAGTGGCGTGACCCTCCATAACCCAGAGAGTAACAGGGCAGCTCCCAGAGCCGCAGCACCCTGCCAGCTCCCACAGCAGGGAGCCTTTCCTGCACCAGTCAAGCATCCAGGAGCGCTGCCCACAAGCGGGCTGCTCCCCAGATCCCCGGGAGCCTCGTGACTGGGGTGGGGCCAGTGCCCTCTGCTCATCAGGTAACAGGGCCCGTCGGAAAGGGACGTTAGCTGGGTGAGGAGCCGAAGGCCACCTCACAGGAAGTGGTGCTGTATGCTGATTTCACAGCCACTGGGAAAGCACTTTTTTTTGGTTGTAAAAGGAGACTAAAATTCTGCCCAAGAAACAATGAAGAGCAGAGATGCAGCAGTTTGTTTGGATTCCCACCGGAGAGAGAGAGAGAGAGAGAGAGGACAGGGGAGGCGAGGGTCAGTTAAGATCGCTGGAAATTGTACTCCAGCAGGATCCGTCAAGCCCATGCCAGTCTCTTTAGCGTGCTCCTGACCTGCATCCCTGTGAGCACCGGGAAGTTATGCTGGAAAGCCTCGAGGTTTCACAAGAGGTGCAGGCTAGTCCCTGCGCAGCCTGGAACTGAGCTCCCTGCAGGCTAGTCCCTGCAGTCCTACCCTCTTAGAACAGAGCTAGGTCCATACAAGACAGGTTCGAGATCCATTTAGGGGCATTTTCCCAGCACCTTGGGCGGCGAGATGTCACTGTCTCAGCCCCACTCTCTGGGATACAGCAGTACTAGCCCCCGCCCCTACTGGCTGAGGATTCCTAGCAGCCACGAGCCAGCTCTCAAAGCCCACATCAGAGGAACCAAAACAGAGCTGAGTGCAGACAGGACGCGAACCCAGGGCCTGGAAAGACTCAGCTTCAAGCCTTTGCCCCTTGTGCAGTGGGACTGCGCCCTCTGCTGGGGGAAGCTGGATACTTGTCTCTACACAGTGGGAATCCCACGAAGCGTCTTTGTAAAGGCATATGGGCATGGTGAAGTTACCTAAAGGAGCCAAGTTCCTTGACTTCTGTTATTTATCCTGGGTGTTTCTAAGACTCAGCTAATTTAAAGGATCCAAGTTTGCTGTTCCCCACTGATGGGCTCTCCCCATGACTCCTCTCTTGTTTGGAGCAATGAGAAGTCAGGGCCTTCACGCCTTGGGTTCCTGTATGCTAGCCAAGCACTGCAGGGGAAGGGCTCTTCCTTTACAAGCGATGCAGAATTTCCAGTTTGTGCTTTTCATAGAAAGAGATTTAGGCTCTGGAAAGAGGAGCCTTTCCAAAACCAGCCTTTGGGGCCAAATTTAATCCGACCATTTCCAAAGTAATAAAAACCAGGGGCACCAGAGAGAAGATTGGATTCTGGACAGTGTGTTTTTAAGATGCTTTTGAGAGTGAAATGCAACAAGTTAGCCCAGTGATTGCTGCTTGTCATAACCCCACAGGCTGTCTGCCAGGTCGGTTCTGTTAGGAGGGCATCACGTCCAATGGCTTTCATGGGAGTTGTGAGCCCATGAGGAATTCCTGGGTGCAGTCCCTTGCTGTGTAGCAGGACATCTCCAGAGCAAAACCTGCCCCTGTGGGGGCAGGAATTAGCCAGCACTGCCTTTTCACCGACCCTATTTGAAGGGTTAGAATCTGGAACCTCCACACAGGGGGTGGGAAGAGAAATGCTCAATATTGCTGTGTGCTTGGCTTGCACCTGATGAAAGGCGCCTGACTGACAACTCTGGGGAACTGAATGATCAGACACAGATGAACATGATTTGTTGGGGGAGAGTCAACATGGCTTTTGTAAAGGGAAATCATGCCTCACTAATCTACTAGAATTCTTTAAGGGGGTCACCATAAGCATGTGGAGAAGGGTGATCCAGTAGATACAGACTACTTGGGCTTTCCAAAAGCCTTTGACAAGGCTCCTCACCAAAGGCTCTTAAGCAAAGTAAGCTGTCATGTGGTAAGAGGGAAGGTCCCCTCATGGATTGGTAACAGGTTAAAAGTCAGGAAACCAAGGGTAGGAATAAATGGTCAGTTTTCAGAATGGAGCGAGATAAATAGCAGAGTCCTCCAGGCGTCTGTACTGGGACCAGGCCTATTCAACATATTCATAAGTGATCCGGGAAAAGGTGGCAAAGTTTGCAGAGGATACAAAATTACTCAAGACAGTTAAGTTGAAAGCTGACTCCGAAGAGCTACGAAGGGATCTCACAAAACTGGGTGATTGGGCAACAAAATGGCAGATGAAATTTATTGTTAATAAATGCGAAGTAATGCACATTGGAAAACAATCCCAGCTGTACATACAAATGATGGGGTCTAAATTAGCTGATGAGGGGATGGAACAGTTTCCGTGTGAGGAGAGATTCAAAAGGCTGGGACCGTTCAGATGGGAAAAGAGACGACCAAGGAGTGGGGCAGAACATGAGAGAGGTCGATAAAATCGTGACAGGGTGAAGCAAGTGAACAAGAAAGCGTTATTTACCCTTCACATAACGAGAACCAGGGGTCACCCAATGAAATTAATAGGCAGCAGGTTTAAAACAAACAGAAGTAAGTATTTCTTCACACAACGCGCAGTCACCCTGGGGAACTCGTTGCCAGGTGATGTTGTGAAGGGCAAAAGCTAAAAACAAATTAACCAAGTTCCTGGAGGTCAGGTACCTCACTGGCTACGCAACCCTGGGCACTGGGTTACCCTAAAGTTCTGACTGACAGAGGCTGGGACTGAACAGGGGACGGGTCACTCGATAATCGCCCTGTTCTGTTCATTCCCTCGGGGGCACCTGGCACTGGCCACTGTGGGAAGACAGGACACTGGGCTAGACGGACCATGGGTCATGTTCAGACTCCTCTAAGCCACAGAGCCGGTGAAGCTACATTCTGCAGCTCATGAAAAACAAGTCCTATGTAGACGTTATGAGTTAGTTAACACCACTGCCCTCCAGACCCCTGAGCCTTTGCTCCTGGGAACTCTGACAGCCCAAAGGAGTGGCCAGGTCTCTGCTGGACAAGCAGCCCCTGTTGACATTCCTGATGCGCACAAGATGCTTCGGGGAGAGCTGGGATTGTGGCTGACAACATCGCTCGCATGCCATCATACTGGCTATCCCAGCCCCCAACTGGGCCAGCTCGTCTTTGGCCTCGTCCCTATGAGGAAAAGGCGCGTTCTTCCCTCAAGCGAACGCAAACCCAGTAACACCCTACGGAAACAAGGCAATTTGCTGCTTTCACACAAGTTAAAGCTTAGGCTCTCCCATCCATCTCCATCAGTCCCGGCACGGCTTTGACGCCATTCATACTAAGGAATTCTGCTACATGGCCAGCAATCACAGGGTGCGGTAAGGTCAGAGAGACAGGCTGACCATCCAGCCAGTCCATCTGATGGGCCTAGCTAGAAATCAAACCAGGTGGCGCCTGACCTGCAAGGAAGCCAAATCCTTTTTGGACTTGCCTGGATGAGGAGAAGGGGGAGTTACCACCACCTCTCTTCCTAGCAGAGATGCTCCCTTTTACACTGTAGGCTCTTTGGGGCAGGGACCGTCATTCACTAAGTCTGTACAGCCTCTAGCACAATGAGCCCATCCTATCTGTGACCATTAGGTGCGACAGGGATATAAAGTTTAACACCACTGCAATGAAATGCCCACTGAGATGCCTTTTCATAGTCAGGGGCACTCGCTGACAGACAGGGAGAGCTTGTCCCCAGAGCAAAGCCCTACTCTGCCCAGACGCATGAAGGATTTGTGTATTCTGCCCCCGGCCCATGATCCTCACTGCCATCCTGGGTATTTTCTGGCTGCCTCAGGGCTTCCACTCCTGCAGCAGGGCATTAACTGGCAGGAAATTCCCCACCCAGAGCTCATCCCGGCCCATGCGCTTAACTGGAGTCCAGCTCTTTGGGGCTGCCCCCAGAGCAGAGTCAGTCATGCTCTGAACTGCCAAGCAAGGAGCCAGGGCTTGATTTCCACCCCACCTCCTACAATGATGGCCCAAGACGCTGGAAGCTGCTGGGCTGGGATCATCAATGTAGAGGGTATTTTTAACAAAGGATTGGGCTGGAGGGGCACCTGCCTGCCATGGGCCTCGACCCTGGGGGCAAAGGAGGAAGGGGAAAAAGCAGAGACCCAGTAGATCCATTTTCCCATGCATAACCAGAGCCGGTTCAGTCCCTACACTATGCAGTGTGAGCACACACCACATGGTACCATAGCAATCTGAGCCCACAGGAGACACTGAATGCCTTGCACGGGCCAGCAGAGCAGCGCTGACCTGCTCCCGAGGGTGCCAGCCAATCGGCCTCCCCACGCCGGGATGGCTGGCAACACGAACCCAGAGTCTCAGTGAAGTGATGCCACACGACCAGGAGCCTGGCGGCTCCGGCAGGTAAATTCTCAGCTGGTCGCTCACTTCCACTCCAGCAGGAAGAGGAGCCCACTAGCCAAGCCCAATGCGCCAGCAGCCCAGCCGGCAGGGCGGCAGCAAGCACACTAGCCTACCTTGTTTGACGGCTCCAGCTTCAAAGCGGCTTTGAGGAGGGGTATGGCCTCGCTGTACTCGCCTTGCTGCGCCAGCACCTGGAAGACAAGCCACAAAGCTGAGCAGAGAGGCCCCTGGCTGGCCCCCAGCAGACACGCTCCCGCCCAGGCCGCAAGAGGCCAGGGTCCATCCAACACTCCCGCTGCTAAGGGGAGGGGGCCTCGCACAGCTCAGAGCCCCACTCTTACCTTCCCCTTGCGGAAGAGGGCTTTGATGTTCTCTGGCTGGTGCTCCAGGACCTGGGTGCAGGATCTCAGGGCAGCCTCATAATGGTCCAGCTTGAGCTGAGAGGCTGCCAGGTTGTTGAGACATTTCACCTTCACCTCCAGCAGCTCAGCCTCCTCCTCTGGGCTGAAGAGGACTGCAGAGATCCCAGAGCTGAGTTACACCCGCAGTACAACTGCTTTCCAGCCCTGCTCCAGCTCCTTTCGGTTTGCATTGCAGGGAACCCACTTCCCTAGCCCGCAAGCCATGGAGGTGTCTAGACCTCACCTGGGCCACCAACAGCCCGAGAGGGTGATCCCTGGGGGAGCCCCAGTAGACTGCTGCTGGGCTCTGGGCAGGACAGAGAGGAGCCAGCCTCTGCCCCAAGGGGCTCACAGCCATGGACAGACCAACAGAGGGTGCCCGTGGCGACCAGGCTCTCAGAACCGTGCTGGTATGGCTGCCCGCAGGGAACGCTGGGGGCAGAGCAGGTGTGCAATGAAGGAAGCAGGCTGTAAAGCCACCAAATGCTACTTTCCAAAAAAATCTCCCCCCGACACTGCAGAAGGGCCCCAGGCAAGGAGACATCTCAGAGGGCAACAGTTCCCGAGAGACACAGGCTGCCAGGAGACCCAGCTCCCGGGTGGGGGATTTCTTGGCTCAGGCAAGGAGACACTGTTCGAAGAGCAGCGTGTCCCAGAGGGGCCAGCGTCACACACGAGGACGAGGAGGGCTGAGCCCTGAGGGCTGGGCACCATGGTGGCAGAGACGCCTCAGACATGCAGCAACTCCACTTCCCAGAGTCCTGCTGCCCCCAGAGAACAGCTGTGCAGGCAGGAGCAGGACTGGCTGACCCCAGGGCAAGGCAGGGCAGGTACCTTTGGAGCTGGAGTTGATGGTCTTCAGGGCGATGTCGTACGAGTTGATGGCCAGCACGTAGTCCGTCTGCTGGTAGTAGAAGTTCCCGCGCTCCCGCTTGCGATTGGCCAGCTGGATTTTCTCTCTCCCCCGGAGGAGCTCCAGGTCAGGAGCATCCTGCACGGCCAGCAGCTGCACTTCCAGGGTGAGGGCTGCGTGGGGCGGGATGTCGGGGCTCCTGCTCACATGATGGAGGAGACGCGATGGCACCTCTCCCAGGAGGAAGCACGGGCCCAGCCGAGGCTGCGGTGGCTCTGGGGTCAGCAACGCTATAGCTCTGCGGCAGAGCCGCCTGGCGCCAGCTACTGCCCCCAAAACACCCACCGGCTGCGAAGGAGCCATGCAGATTCAGTGCTGGGGAAAGGGGCAGCCCGACAACTGACACACACAGAGGCAGCCAGACCAGGGAGGGCAGCAGAACAGACCCTGTTGCCAGCTATGCCTCATTCCTGCCCTGGAGAAATCCCACCCTTCCCCGAGGGGCAATGGGGCCCACTGACGCCTGGGCTTATCTACTGGGACTGCGGCTAGGGGGTGAACTGTGCTGGGGACATGTTGATGAGGAATCGTACTGAGACCAACACCTCCTCTCTCTCTCCCCACGGCAGAGGCTCCAGCCTTTGGCCTTGCTGCTGCAGGCCAGGGGGCTATCCCGGCTAAGCCTCCTCTCCAAGGATCCTCCCCCCTCCCTTTGGTCCTGCTGCGGTTAGCCTCCCACAGCCTCCCCGCACGGTCCCAAGATCCCTCTCACCTGCCCTGCGGGCCGAAGCAGTACTTGGCATCTGACATGATCAAGGCAGTTTCTCCCATTTCTAGCAGCTGTGCACACAGGTCTAGGGCCTGCAGGGACCCAGAGTTCAGAGGGAGGTCAGTGGAGGGCGTTCTCTGCTCAGGAGCAGGTGGTCATGGATTCAAATCCCACAGCCAGACTTGGGCTCCTCCCCAGAGGGCTGCTGTAGTGCGGGCAAAGGGACTGTACTGCTGGACAGGTCATTAAACCAGCACAGGAGCAGCTCAGAGTGCAGGCCGGCTGCCAAGCAAACCAGAGCGAGCCTGGCACAATGCAGGGACAGAGCAGGGGCAGGACAAGAGGGCATCAACCTATAGCCCCAGACTTGGGGCTCTGCTTCTGAACCACAGTGCTTGGCGCAGAGTGCCGGATCAATCAGCCAACACAACCTGGTGCCTTCGAGCGAGGAAGGGAGCCCCGCTTCCCAGGTGGGCAAAGGAAGCACTCACATGCCTCCTGTGGGTCGCCAGGGGGACGCACTCCCTCCCCCACCTTCACTCTCTCCCCGAGTTCTTAGAGAATAAAGCCAGCTGCCAAATCCACCTGTCAGGATAAAGAAGAAATTCCCTGGGCCCCTCCTCCCCCGCATTGCCCCACATACAGCATTCCTCAGTTAGCCAGGTGCATTACGGAGATCACAAGGGAAAGAGACACCAGGTGTCTGCAGTCACTCGGGGCAGGCAGGATACCGGGACCAGAGGAAGCAGCCATCTGACCCACACCAGACCCTCTCACCCAAACATTCCCAGGTCCATGAACCAGGCTTTGCACACAGGCTGGGCTCCACCAGGGAGGTCAGCTGCTGTGCAGAGATTCTTCTCCTCCCCCACCCCAAACACCTCTCGCTCCAGAGCACACAGGCCTCAGCCCCCTCGCACCTACCTGCATGACGTCGCAGTCTCCCAGGGTGAAGGAAAGGCTGGGATTGTCCTCCACCACGCTGCCATCCTCCAGCATCACCTTGAGTCGGACGGTGACATCCTGGCCTTTGCGCGGCCGGCTCTCCACACCTTGACCTGGCACCAGGGTCTTCTTCTTGAGTAAGCCACTCCCTGGGGAGAGAGATGGGAGCCAGAAGCACGTCACACCCAGCGGGAGATAGAAAGGCTGTCTTGGCTCATGCTGCCGATGTCCACTTGGGTTTAAAGGGGAGGTGGGAGTGGGGAGGCAGCCAAGGTGGCACATTCCCACTAGGGGACTGATGCCGGGCTCAGAGCTGGCCACGCAGCCACTGCTCCCATGGCTCATGTTGACAAGAGCGTGGTGGCCCTGAAGAGCCACTGGATTCACAGCTCTGGGGAACAAAGGCTCCTGGATACAGACACCGAGGAGGGAGAACGGGACAAAGCAAACTCACCCCCAGCAACTACCACCAACCTGCTGCTATCCTGCCAGGGAGGGACGGGGCTAGAGACAAGAGTGAGGGTTCACACTCCATGGACTCTCTGCTGAGACGTTAGCTGGGGGATCCCCTGAAGAGCTGCCACTTACCTCTCTGGGGCAGGGGCTGCGTCTCGCTCAGCATTTTGTAGGTTCTAAGACCAGAAAGGACCATTGTGATCAGCTAGTCTGACCGCCCGGATAACACAGACCAGAAACCTGCCCCCTGTTCATTCTAGGGCAGCTCTTTGTATTTAACCATTGGGACAATTTACTGAGGGTCACAGGGGCGTCTCCATCACTGGCCATTTCTAAATCAAGACTGAATGTTTCTCTAACCGATCTGCTCTAGGGATTATAGGGGGGCAGGTCTCTAGCCTGTGCTCGCAGGGGGTCAGACTAGATGATCACAATGGGCCTTTCTGGTCTTGGGATCTATGAATCCTTTGGAAAAATCATCCAAATCTTGATTTTAAATTCGTCAGTGAACAAAAACCCACCTCGCCCCTTGGTAAATGAGTTAATGACTCTCACTGTTGAAAATCTACATCTTATTTCCAGTCTGAATTGGTCTGGCTTCAACTTCCAGCCCTTCAGAGGACGACATTAGCACAACTGGTTGACTATGCTGAAGAGCCCATCATCAGATCTCTGTTTCCCAGGTAGGGACTTACAGACGGACCAAGTCTTCCCTTAACCTTCTCTTTGTCACAACAAACAGACTGAGCTCCTGAGTCCCTCCTGGAGGGGCACGTCATCGAATCCTTTCAACAGCCTTGTGGCTTTTCTCTCAAAGCCCTCCAGTGTATCAACATCCTTCTTGAACTGTGGGCACCACCGCTGGACACAGGATTCCAGCCGCGGTCGCACTGGTGCCAAGTGCAGCGGTAACAACCTCTGTGCCCACTCGCCATCCCCCAGTTTGTGTCTCCCAGGATGGCATTAGCCCTTTTGGCCCCAGCATCTCAGCGGGTGCTCTCGTTCAGCAGATTAGCCACCATGGTCCCCAGATCATCTTCTTCTTGGGAAGCACTAGCATGCTCTGAATGCTGCAGCGATCCAAGTCAACAACCTACATGCCATGTGGGGCTAGGCCGAGACCCTCCCAAATGAACACACCCCTGACTCACAGGAGACTCTGTAAACAAACTGCAATGATGGCTGACACCTGACCTGGGCACAGACAGGTGGCTCAGAGGCCAAAGGCTCCATAGCGAGGCATCTGCCACACCCTCGGGCCCCCTTTCCTACACCACTACGGCATCTCCTGAGCTGCTGCGGGGGGCACATAGGAGCCCTGACTTCAGCCTGTTTGCCCTCGCTGGGAGGAGGGAGAAGGGGAAGAGCTTGTGACAACAGGAAACAGCATGGCATCTTCCTACACAAGATCTTACCCAAGACATCAAGCCACTCCTCAGCTGCCTGGGGCATGTTGGAGACCTCCTCCGGGGCTTGCTCTGACCCAGGCATCTGGGTGTCATCTCTGGCTGGTGGGGCCCTTCCCGTCCCTATGTCCTCCAGAGGGGGGAGTTCACTCAGGTCATCGTCGTCATCCTCATCTAGGACTTCAAAGTCCTCCCCGCTGTCCAGCATGGAGGCGCTGGCCTTGGTGAGGCCCGGTGAGCTGAGATCAATGCTGGTGTCAGCCCAGTCAGGGGAGCCATCGGCTGGACCCTCCCCTCCAGAAGCCATTGCAGAGAGGTGAGGATCAAACTAACTAAGAAGTAAAGACAGAAGAGGGTGTTTTGTTTGGGGTTTTTTCCCCGGGGAGAGGCGGGGGGCAGGGGGGAGAGTTTAGAAGAGCCGTAGTTTGAGATTCCAGAACTACCTTGAAATGGGGCCTTGGAACCCAGCTCCCTCCTCCCCCCAGCCCAGCAGCCCTTGGGGAAGTCAGCACTCACTCTGATAAACAGTGATCACTCAGATACAGCCAGGGTCCAGGACCCTGAGCTACCGCGAGAGAGACTGCAAATGGAACAGAACCAAAGCACCTGAAATTGCTACTCCCTCACTGAAACACAGTGGGGCACGTTTGCCCGTTGCTCCCCAGCCCCCATCCAGGCTGTTGCCTGGACTCTGGGTGCAAATTGACCGGCTATGTTGTAGCTTGCAGTGGCCTCTGGTCTTTGCCATGAGCTTCGCAGGGCTTCTCCTCCGGCTCTCAAAGCCAGAAGCCCGGCATGGAAGAGTTAATCTGAAGCCGATCCCAGGATCACTGCAACCACACGTTTCCCTAACTAGTTTCCATTTATAGCAAGACCTACGAGCTGGGCTCTGCTGGGAAACGAAGTCTAACATGGCGCAGCATGGGGAGGAATTAGGAACCATCAAGCTCACAGGCAGCAAAGAGCCTAACTGGCAGAGGGAAAATATTTCCTAGATACAGAGTCTACAGCCAGATGGGCGGCAGGCGAGCCTCTCACCAGGGTTTTAGAAAGGCCTGGCTGACAAACACCTGGCAGTGGAGATTACCCCAGCGCTGGAGGAACAGGCTGGGCTGTACCCTCAGGCAGGCTCTTGGTCTTCAGTCAAGGGGACAGTTCCAGAAGGCCACCCATTCGGCGAGGGGCTTCATTCCTCTTTTCCAAGGGTATCTTTAAATAAGATAAAATAAAATAAAATCAATTAAGAAAGCTTGAGGAGACTCTTGCAGAGTCTGCAATCCCCACCCAGCCCCCATTTGGGGATGTCTGGACCCGATACCAGAGCCACCCATACACTGTGCTGCTTTAGAGCCAAGTATTGCAAAATAATCCCTGGGAAGAGGCAAGCGAGTGATGCCGCCAAGAGTCCAAGGGCAGACAGATTATGTCAGCCCAGCTTCCCAGCCTGGCCTCATACTCAGAGGGTGGAGGACAAGCCAAGGCCTCAAAGAGAAACAACAGGAACCTTGTGTCTCCACCGCAGAGCCCACCGCTGCTCTGGGTACGGCAGAGAGCACTCCCAGCAACAAGGGAAACTTGTTCACAGCAAGAGCTCGGTCTGCAAGCAAACGCCATTTGCTGGGAGCTGTTTATTACACACAAAGAGCCACAAGTAGCTAGCTGAGGAAAAGGTACGGGCTGCTAAGAGCAAACACGCAAATAGATCAGCTCCCGTCCAGGGCAGGAGAAGGGCGAGGCACCCCCCTGCACTGGGGCAGCCAGCTCACAGACGGGACAGGAACACTCTGGCTAGCGTCAGACAACGCGAACCCAGCTCCACAGAGGATAGAGGAGAGCAGAGCGCCCATCAGCCTGGGCCGAGCAGGCAATGAACATGTAAGAGAACAGGTTTGGGATGGACAGGAAGAGACTGGTCTGGTGACAGCTGATGGAGATCAGCTGCCTTAGCATTCTCCTCTGGAGTAGGTGTCAGCCTTGCTGCCAGCTAATTACAGAAGCGAAACCAAGGCTGGTCTTGGACACCAGCCCAGGACCACAAAAGAAGACCTATGACCTACACTTGGAACTGGAGATATCGAGGCAAATAACTGTGGGGGCCACGTTCAGCAGCCATAGAGGGACTGCTAACAGAGTCTGCAGCTCAAACACCCAGACAAGAGCTACAGTACAGTGCCTAGCACCTTGGGGCCCCAGCAGTGGATTGAGCTCTGAGGCCCTAATGCAATACACGTGATAAAGGATACAGCTCAGAACGGTCCGCCCACCAGCTCAGAGCTCTAGGCTTGCTGGAGAGCATCCTTCTCCCCGTCTGGGTCCTTCCAGCCTCCTGGCTAACGCACCATCATGCACCAAACAGCAATGCCTGGATCTAGCCATTTGTATCCACTACGGCAGGGGTTCTCAAACTGGGGGTGTGACCCCTCAGGGGGTCACAAGGTAGTTACATGGAGGTCACGAGCTACCAGTTTTATGGGGCTGACAGCCCTGAGCCCCCATTAAATTAAATTGCCCCTGCCCCTGTTTTTAACTTACAAGGAGGGGTGATACTCAGAGGCTTGCTGTGTGAAAGGGGTCACCAATACAAAAACTTTGAAAACCACTACTCTACAGCAAGTGCACAGGCCAGAAAAGAGCCATATTTCAGGAAGTTACTCCTCAATGTCATGCCCACCCCCTCCAGTTATCAAAAGGGAAAGACTGGGGAGTTTTAAATAAAAGTTCTCTCTTCACCACTGCCACAGTTCGTTTCCCTTTCTCTCTCTTTGGGACTGGGAAAGATGCTCAGATCCATAGCGATGAGGACCAGGTGAGTAGCTAGATAGACGGGGGATAATAATCCTGATCGTCTCCCATCCTTAGTCCCTGAAGAGTTTTACAGTGTAAATCACAGGCCTGTCTCACACTACAATTCTGAGCAGCACTCAGCACAAGGGGCCCTCTGGGAGCTACCACAGTAGAATAATGAAGATCAGGCCCATAAAAAACAAATAAATCCAGCCCGGTCAGCATCCCCTTCTGGTTCTCAGACCCTTACTACTGGCCAGGCTCCTTGTGATCCCAATGCAACATGGGAGGTAAAGTTACACTCCCTCTAAATGTAACGGACATATTTCTGCTCACACTTGTCACTCTGATGAGTGTGCTCCCAGAACCCTGGGCCCTGAAAGGACGGGCACGACTGGGACAAGCCCAGGAGCTTCCCTTAACCAGTCACTGGCCAGGGAGACTCAGGGCTCTGGCAGGCCCAAGACACTTTGCTGCTGCATATGGCCTGAGTGAATTCATCCTTGCCTTAACCACTGCCTCGCCCCCCAACCCCCAGCCCATTGCCTGCTGGGCTTTGCCTCTCTCACAGCCAGTCCCTCCAGCCCCGGCTGCCAGCCCAGCTACAAGACAGGCTGCAGCAGCATGCTGGGTCACCACAGGGAACGCACGCACCCAGCTGGGACACTTAGCAAACAACAGCCAAGTTAAAGGTTGTAGTCACCATGCCAAGGTACAAGTCCTTTAAGAGGCAGGACCCTAGCCACCCAGTCCTTCTTTCCTGGGCTCCTGCCCACACCACCCTGCCCCAAGTCACTCACCAAGGAGGAATTCAGAGTAAAGCCCCCAGCCAAGAGCATCATGGATTGGCACCCCGCAGGGAGAGCCCATCCAGAGACTCATGCCGCTCCAGTCTACAAAAAAGCACCAGAAGGCAGCCTAATTCTGTGAGCGCCACGATGCTCGGAGAACAGCCTGGATTTACGTGACAGCGTTTCCCAACGCCCCAACGCCGCAGCATGGGGCAGGAAAACACATTTTCCCCTAGTAGGCGTTTCAGTGAGGGAGCGACACAAAGCCTCTGTGCGGGGCCCAGCCCTAATGGGCAACACCCGTAGGAGCCTTGGCCCAGCGAACAAGCCCGCAGGTATCGTCCCCTCCAGCAGTTGGCCTTTTCAGGCCCCGCTTCCCAGCAGGAGCCACCCACAGAAAGAGATGGCAGGACACAAGCACCAGACTTAACAGGAGTTCACCACGAACACGGTGAGAGCGATATGGTGACTGGACCCTTCAGCCTCCCCGAAACCCAGGGAGCAGCAAGGGATGCCCCCGCCCTCCTCTGCCAAGCCACTGCAGGTCACACAGCTGCTCAGCAGGCGCCATGGGGGGACTGCCCCTTTGGGACCATCCCCCTCCACAGAGTCCTTCTGCGCACCCCGCCCCCGGGGCTCCCTCCCCCCGGGGCTCCCCCCCGCCCCTCCCCGCTCCCGGACCTCCCTCCCCCCGGGCCTCCCCCCGCCCCTCCCCGCTCCCGGACCTCCCTCCCCCCGGGGCTCCCCCCGCCCCCGGACCTCCCCCCGCCCCTCCCCTCCCCGCTCCCGGACTTCCCCCCCCCCACCCCCGGACCTCCCGCTCCCGGACCTCCCCCCCCCGGGGCTCCCCCCCGCCCCTCCCCGCCCCCGCACCTCCCGCTCCCGGACCTCCCCCCCCCCGGGGCTCCCCCCCGCACCTCCCCGCCCCCGGACCTCCCTCCCCGCTCCCGGACCTCCCTCCCCGCCCCCGGACCTCCCCGCCGCTCCCGGGGCCCCCCGTCCCGGGGGCCCGTCCCGGGGCCCCCCCGCCGCTCCCGGAGCGCTCTCAGCCCCCCGCGGGCCGGGGAAGCGGCTTGGCCCAGTCCCCCGGGCGCCCCTGCCCTTCACGGGCCCCTCGCCCCCCGTCGAGGCAGGGCCATCCCTACGCGGGCTAGCGAAGCGCGCCGGCCGCGCTCGGACACGGGCACCAGGCAGGGGCCGCCCCGCGAACCCCCCCGGCCAGCGCCGCCCCCACGAGCTCCGGCACCCACCTGGCCTTTGGGCTCAGCTGCTCCAGCCCCGCCCCCCGGCTCTCATTGGCTCCGCGGGCCTGCTCCAGGCCCGCCCACGGCTCTCATTGGCTTCCCTGGGTGGGGAAGACTGCCGCTAAGTGGCCGGCTGCAACGCCCGTCTCGCCTGGATCGGCCTTTGCCCGGAGCCTTCTTAAAGGGGCCGCGGCCGGTGGGGCTGCGCGCAGGTGGGCTCAGCCCGGGCTGCCCCTGCTGGGGTGAGCGGGGGCTCTGGGTGGGTCCCCGGCGTGGGGGGGGGGAGGTCGTAGCAGCCCCCACTGCCATGCAGAAGGGGCAGCCAACAGGCCCCAGCATGCACGGCTGCACCCCAGCCCTGGGGAGATGGCGGGCCCCAGCATGCACGGCTGCACCCCAGCCCTGGGGAGATGGCGGGCCCCAGCATGCACGGCTGCACCCCAGCCCTGGGGAGATGGCGGGCCCCAGCATGCACGGCTGCACCCCAGCCCTGGGGAGATGGCGGGCCCCAGCATGCATTGCTCTGATCCAAGGTGGTAGCCACCCCATGGGGATGGCACAGCCCATCAGTGCATGTGCCACTTGATGCTGGCAGTCTGGACTCTGCCTCTCCTTTGCAATTTGGACTGAGACAAACCCCCTCATTTTAATCCCTGGATTCTGTGTGGCTACACAGAGCTGGTGTCCCCGTCACTTTTGTGGCTGAAAGTTATCTGCCTCCGAAATGCAGTCACTGCACCCTCATTCATGGTCTTTGTCACATGCTGCGTCCCTGGGAGACCTGGCAGGTTGAGAGGTGTGATCAGGGCAGAGCACTGCAGTCCCTCTGCAGGTGGCATCTCTTTGTCAATGACACTATGTATGTGTGGCTGAACTCTGCGGGGAAGAGGGCGCATTCTGTCTTCCCCTGGCGTAAACCTCCAATCTTCCTCCCATGTGCTAATAGCTCAATAAGTTTCTACATTCATGGATACTTCCCTTCTTATGTACTGGGACCGGGATAGATTGTACCAGTCTTCGGGAATTCTCTTGTGCCGGTTTGATCACTCTGCTCATCCATTTTGTGCCTCACTCATGCAAGACTTTCACTAGGTCTGCCATCACTTCATCAGGTCCCTTTGCCTTCATTTCCTGGACCACACTTCTCACCTCCTCCTCTGTTAGGTCAGGCTCAGGCATCACATTAAGATCATATGTTGGTAACTCTGCCTTAAAAGGGGTTTGCCTATTTAAGAGACTCTCAAAGTATTGTTTCCAACTGTCCTTTCACTTGTTTGGGTGTTACTAGCTATCTCCCCTGACCATCATTTACCAATGGTATTAGAATACCACCCTCTTTCCCTTAGCCCTTCATATGGGTTATATCTCAAAATTAAATAACTATTGGATCTTACACATTTTTATCACAACATAGGGCACAAATCCTCCATCATACCCACTGACACCAGAGAAAGTATTTTTAAATTCATAGAAATCTGGGGCTAGGTACCATGGTAGATACCTCCAGGAGATATACAAAGAACTTTCCCTGGAGTGTGTAAAGTATGGTCCAGTAACATCTGTCAGCAGGCAGCATTCTGAAATTGACACTGCAATATGAGAACCTAAAGGAAGAGATGAAGAAGTAAGCCCCAGTTCAGGAAACCATCCCTATTTGGGACAGCACTTGAACACATGCTTTACATGCACCTACAATTAATCACATGCTTCAGTGCTTTCTTTAATTGTGGCCCTAGACTACTCTGCTTTAATACTCATTTAACAAACAGAAGATCAACAGAGAAATTTGAGATTTAAACAAAATAAGGTCACCGTCCCTGTTAGGATGAGCAGATTAATTCTTCTCCATTATTCATATCACTTTCCTGCACACACAAAGGAGCAATATTCAGTGCAAAGATTACTGATTTACCTCTAGGTTACATTTCAACCAGGAACTTGCTGTATTTTAATTTTTCTGTAAGAAAGGAAACATGATTTTTTCTGAGGGCAAAAGATCACCCATTTGTGACGTATGTCCAAGGTCACCAGATCACCACCTTGTGATTTTTTTTCCAAGTCATTTGACCACTGGTTCATATATATATATATATATATATATATATTTATGTATGTATGTATCTATACACACCACTGGTTCATATGGATATTTTTATATAAAAGGGACCTTACTGGACATGGGCAGGCCTTCATCCTCACCTTCTCTTCTTTATTTTCTGTCTGAGTCATGCAAACTTTTAAAATGACACCATCCACATCAAAATCTAAGGAGAAATGTTGAACATATTCAGAAATCCATTCACATGGCCTTGCAAAACTACCTAGAGATGCATAACTTTTTAAAACTGAAGTTGTTTTTAAGATTGCCAGGCCAGTAGTGAAAGAGGATGAAATTTCCTTTCCTTCTTATGGTCTGTGATTTTGCATGCACGCACACACACACACACACTTTTGGTGTGAGTGAGATGGATGGAATTTCTATTAATGAAAGACGCTTGATTTAGATTATTAAGGGGAAAGAGTCCTAAATGAGGCCCTGATTTTAGAAAATCTGGAAGACAAGTGGAAAAGGAAGCAGCATTTCAGCTGGTCTGACTGTCTGTGCTGGCAACGTCTGCCTTGTCTGATTTATCGGTAACTTTGAGGCTTACTGCAAACTGAGAAAAAAGTGAAGCAATAATTTTCCTGAAAAAGCCCTGCAAGCTCTCGTATTTTTTCTGACAAATGACTCACCAAGACTTGGGGAACTTTTCTCTTGGTGATTTGTGCTGACAAAGAAGCTTGAAGTTGGACCAGTCTGTGCACTGACTGGACCTTATACGAAGTAGGAAAAAGTTGCTTTGATTTTATTCCAGTCCACTGGGCTCAACCTGTACGCTGCTCAGCCAATCTGTCTTTGATTTAGTTTCCTAGCAATGTACAAAAATGTACTGCTCCCAGAGAACCTTATAAATATTTCTCTGCCAGTGTAGTTACCCCAGAGCCCTTCTGGTCACATTAATCTTCTACAGCCTCATCCCTGAGGAAATTTATCTCTAGTGATGAGGGGGCGCTTATGTTATCCATATAGCTGAGGGGTCACATGAACTTGAACTGTTACCCACTGGGTCAGGGTCCCTACAACATCAAGGCCACTTTCCATGCTCTGCCAGACTCCCCACAGTGCCCATGACCCCTGCCCAGCTGGCTTCTCCAGATCAAAGCCCACAACTGTATTACTTTTGTTGGAGCCTCCCCCTAGAGAGACCCAGAGGGCAGCTGTGGGAGCCCCCCCCCTCAAACAGACACTGAGGGGGTGGGGAGCTGAGGGGGCTCCCCCTTGGGACACTGAGGGGGAGCGGGATTGTGGGGGGCTCCGCCATAGAACACTGAGGGGGAGGAGGAGGGGGAGTTGTAGGGGGTTCCCCTTGGGACACTGGTGGGGAGGGGTGTTGTGGGGGGGCTCCCCCATAGAGCACTGAGGGAGAGCTGTAGGGGGGCTCCCACACAGAGCACTGAGCGGGAGGGGGAGCTGCAGGGGGTTTCCCTTGGGACACTGGGGGGGAGCGGGGTTGTGGGGGGCTCCCCCATAGAGCACTGAGGGGGAGGGGAGCTGAGGGGGAGGGATGTTGTGGGGGGGCTCCCCCACAGAGCACTGAGGGGGAGGGGGAGCTGCAGGGGGTTTCCCTTGGGACACTGGGGGGAGCGGGGTTGCGGGGGGGCTCACCCATAGAGCACTGAGGGGGAGGGGAGCTGAGGGGGCGGGGTGTTGTGGGGGGCTCCCCCACAGAGCAATGAAGGGGAGGGGGAGCTGTAAGGGGGCTCCCCCATACAGCACTGAGGGGGGGAGGGGAGCTGAGGGGGAGGGGTGTTGTGGGGGTCCTCCCCCACAGAGCATTGAGGGGGAGGGGGAGCTGTAGGGGGTTCCCCTGGGGACGCTGGGGGGGAGCGGGGTTGTGGGGGGCTCCCCCATAGAGCACTGAGGGGGAGGGGGAGCTGTAGAGGGAGGGATGTTGTGTGGGGGTTCTCCACAGAGCAATGAGGGGGAGGGGGAACTGTAGGGGGGCTCCCCCATAGAGCACTGAGGGGTGAGAGGGAGCTGTAGAGGGAGGGATGTTGTGGGGGGCTCCCCCATAGAGCACTGAGGGGGAGGGGGAGCTGCAGGGGGTTTCCTTTGGGACACTGGGGGGGAGCGGGGTTGTGGGGGGCTCCCCCACAGAGCACTGAGGGGGGGAGGGGAGCTGAGGGGGAGCTGTAGGGGGGCTCCCCCACAGAGCACTGAGGGGGAGGGGAGCTGAGGGGGAGGGATGTTGTGGGGGGGCTCCCCCATAGAGCTCTGAGGGGGAGAGGGAGCTGTAGAGGGAGGGATGTTGTGGGGGGGCTCCCCCATAGAGCACTGAGGGGGGGAGGGGGAGCTGTAGAGGGAGGGATGTTGTGGGGGGGCTCCCCCATAGAGCACTGAGGGGGGGAGCTGCAGGGGGTTTCCCTTGGGACACTGGGGGGGAGCTGTAGGGGGGCTCCCCCATAGAGCACTGAGGGGAGGGGGAGCTGTAGGGGGGCTCCCCCATAGAGCACTGAGGGGGAGGGAGAGCTGTAGAGGGAGGGATGTTGTGGGGGGGCTCCCCCATAGAGCACTGAGGGGGAGTTGTAGGGGGAGGGATGTTGTGGGGGGGCTCCCCCATAGAGCACTGAGGGGGGGGAGCTGCAGGGGGTTTCCCTTGGGACACTGGGGGGGAGCTGTAGGGGGGCTCCCCCATAGAGCACTGAGGGGGAGAGGGAGCTGTAGGGGGGGATGTTGGGGGCTCCCCCATAGAGCACTGAGGGGGAGGGGGAGCTGTAGGGGGGCTCCCCCATAGAGCACTGGGGGGGAGCTGTAGAGGGAGGGATGTTGTGGGGGGGCTCCCCCATAGAGCACTGGGGGGAGGGGGAGTTTCTGGAGAGGGAGGGAGTTGTGGGGGGGCTCCCCACAGAGCTCTGAGGGGGGAGGGGAGCTGAGGGGGGGGGTGTTGTGTGGGGGCTCCCCCATAGAGCACTGAGGGGGAGGGGAGCTGTAGGGGAGGGATGTTGTGGGGGGCTCCCCCATAGAGCACTGAGGGGGAGGGGAGCTGAGGGGGAGGGGGGGA